GGCACCCAAGACCTTTGCATTTAAGGCCGGCTCTGCCTTGCTCAACAGACTCAGCTCCGCCAGAATCTCAGCATGCTTCTTGCGGTCCAAAGGGTACCTTGGTTTCCCAGTAGACCCTTAGAAATCAGGACGCCCTTTGTCCTACGATTTCGTTTTGATAAGGGAACACCAAAAGAAAAAAGGGGCAAAAGGGTCCTACTCGGAAACCAAGGGTACAGCGCCCAGATCACGATCGCAGAGAGGAGCGCGAGGATGCTTGGCACCAGTGAGTAGAAGAACCGGATGGCGAAGCGTGCAGCTTCCGGCTGCGGCACCACGTCAGCCCGGAAGCCCGCCGTGTCGATGAACAGAAATCCCAGTGCCACCAGCAAGGATGCAGCCAACTTCGAGGAGATATCGAAAAGAGCCACGATCTTGGCTTCATCCCTATGTCCGCGGGTCAGGAGCTGCAGTGCATCTGCCACATCCGCCATCATGGAGAAGCGGACAACTGAGCTCCCTCCCATCACCGTTCCGGCTGAGATGATGCAGGCGACATACATCCCCAAGGCCTGACGCTCGACCGCGGCAAAGATGAGGCCTAACACGGAAAACTGGACCAGAGTGATGAAGGTCAGGGTCATCTTCTTGTCAAACTTCTTGGCGACCCAGGCCCAGAAAGGCACGAACACTGCACCCAGAAAGATGTAAAGACCCAAGAGCCATTCGACACCTGCACGGTGTAGGGTTTAGGGTTTAGGGTTTAGGGTTTAGGGAGGTGTAGGTGTAGGGGAGGCCGGGTGGGGTTTAGGGCTTCTGACCGTCGTGTGACCCAGCCCCTCCTTCATCTTCGAGAACGTACTTCACGAAGAAGGGATAGAGCAATGCGTTGCCTGTAGTGGCCATGAGGGCCAAAACCGTCGCTATGTAGAGGGCGATGGCCGGGCGGTAACCAGAGATGTTGCGAAGGAACGACATCCTGGGTTCTTGTTAAAGGATATAATTTTAAGTTACCATACTAAGGAAACCCTGTTATTTACTATAGATTGCTATTATGGTAACTTAAATAAATCTCTTAACAAGCCCCCAGCATCTGCGAGCTGGCGGAGCCATCTCGGACCCCGCCGGGAGCTGATGCTGCGGTGGTATCGGGCACCAGGCAGAAACACAGCACTCCACTTACGACCATGAAGACGGCCCAGAAGGAAGCAGCAAGGGTCAGCCGAAGTGGTCCGGAATCCCCAAGGAGGGCTCCCGCGACGCTGGGGAGCACCGCGCCCAGCATCGCGCCGAGCACCCACATGAACTCCCGGACGGAGACCAGCCTCGTCTTCGCATCATAGTCGGAATTGAGGTCGATAGCCCATGCCATCCAGGGAATACGAGCCACTGTCAAGAACATCTGCGTTAGGAGGCCGAAGGCCGCTGCAAAGGCCAGGGCCGAGGTCGGGTTCCCCAAATTCGGCGGGGAGAAGAGCGCCACGAAGGAGATGGCCAGGAAAGAGCTGCCTAGGAGCAGAAAAGGCCGGCGTCGACCCCAGGAAGTTCGGCAGCGGTCGGAGAGGTAGCCCAAGAGGGGATCGGAGATGGCGTCGAAGATCTGCACCACAGTGGTCACGGCTCCAATCTGGCTCAAAGGCACCCCCTGGTTCTCTGCATACAGCGATGGAAGGTACAAGCTTATCATCACCACGAAAGCTCCGAAACCAACTCCAGGCAGTCCATACGCCAATGTCGCAGGGACAGAGACATGAGTGGCCCCTCCAGCTTCTGGGGGCGCCATTACTACGAAGCTGCTGATGGCTTTTTTACGCTAGGCTTCGGCTTGGCAAGAAATCTGGAGCCCGAAGCCTCAGCTCCTGAGTTTAGGATAATAGGGTTTAGGTTTTCCGAAGCCTTCGTTTGCCCTACGAAGCCCCACTCTTCATCACGGAGCTCTACATCTCTAAGCCGCAAGACAGATGCAGAAATGCGAGATGCCCTTGCCGGCTTCATGCGCACGCCGGATCCTGCGCTTGCCGATTCACAAAACCCTAAGCCCTCCAAAATCGTCACAGACCACCTAAACCCTCAAAACCCCTATAGGTGGGAGACGTCAAGTTAAACCCCCAAACCCTAAACCCCCAAACCCTAAACCCCAAAACCCTAAACCCTAAACCCCAAACCCTAAACCCTACACCGTACACCCTAAACCCTCAAACCCAACCCGAAGCCATTCATCCTCGAGGCCGGAACTCCTGAAGTCGGAGTTCCCACAAAAAGACGCAAAAGCACCGAAACCAAAGCTCATCATGCAAGAACTGACGTCACAGCCCCGTCCAACCTTACCGCCCAATAACCCCAAAACCCTAAACTCCAAAACGGAAATCCCCTCCCCAAAAAAACCCTAAACCCTAAACCCAAAAGTTCTGTACGAAGCCGAGATCCCTGACTTCTAAGATCGACTCCCCACATGAACACCAAAAGCCCTCCCCAAACCCCCAAGCCCCAAACCCCGAAGCCCCGGAACCTGATAAATCCCCAAACCCTCATGAACCTCCAAGCCCTTAAACCCAGAACCCTAACGGCTTAGGGTTTAGTTTTTAGGGCTTAGGGCCCTAAACCGTTCAGCCCCCGAAAGAGTCTCCTTGGGTCGCCCCTCCAAGCCGGCAGCCACTGCGGCACAGTAGGCCGTCACACCCTCGCAGCCGGAGCGGACCTGTCTTGCTCCGGTTGATGATATACATCCTGCATTACCCATAAGAAGGAAAATACCATCATTCCCATAGTTTAGGGTCCTTAATATAAATCCTGCATTACCTTAAGGATCCCTAATAAGGAAAATACCATCACTCCCATGGTTTAGGGTCCTTAAGGTAATGCAGGATTTATATCATCAACAGTCTGTCTTCTTTTGTAAGGCCCTTTAAGGCTCGGGGTTCGTGAGTTTGGGGTTTAGGATTTAGGGTTTAGGGTTCAGGGTTTGGGGTTTAGGGTTTAGGGTTTGGGGTTTAGGGTTTAGGGTTTAGGGTGGAGGATAACATCTCAAACCCGAGGCTTACAACCCTTGGCCCCCAAACCCTGAACCCCTAAAGCTTTAATACCACGTGCTGACCGCGATAAAAGGAGTAAACTCAAAAAACAACTAGAACTAAACCTACGGACAAACCCTACATCCCTAAATGAGAGTTGGGTTCTGTAAGGGTCTATGTCGGGGCTCTTGCGGTTCTCTGTGGCTTTATGGGAGATCTATTGCGATTCGTTCAGGGTTTATAAGAACTCTTTGACGGTTCTCTCAGTTCCTGCAGAGTCTATAAGCTGTTCTACGCCTCCTTTGGTATTTGCATTACGCTCTTTCAAGAATTCAAATCCCTCCTTTCACCCAGTTTCTTCTAGGGCTCCCAGAACGATCCTAAACCCCTAAAAACCCTAAACCTCAATCTCAAACGCCTAGAAACCCTAAACCTCAATCCCAAACCCCCTAGAAACCCTAAACCTCAATCCCAAACCCCCTAGAAACCCTAAACCTCGATCCTAAACCCCTAGAAACCCTAAACCTCAAACCCTAAAGCTCAATCCTAAACCCCTAGAAACTCTAAACCTCCATCCTCGGCTCTACATAAACTTCAGAAAACCCCCTCAGGGCGAAGAGGGAGGCCCCCAGAAGGATCCCCCACCTCCAAGGCCTTCTGGAGGGCCAATGCATCTCTGCGAATGCCTTTAGGGTTTAGGGCTTTTTGGGTTTAGGGCTTCGGGCTTTTAGGGTTTAGGGCTTTTAGGGTTTAGGGTTCAAGGTTTAGGGTTTTGGGGCTTCAAACAGTTTAGGATTTGGGGGTTCAAGGCTTAGGGTTTAGGGTTCAGGGTTTAGGGTGTGGGGGTTCAGAGGTTTAGGGGTTTAGGGTTTAGGGTTCAGGGTTTTTAGGTTCAGGGTTTAGGGTTCAGGGTTTAAGGTTCAGGGGTGACCCCTTCATAAGCAATACAATCCGGATCCTACTAATGACGCTTCCAGAAAGGAAGGACCCTGAGTCTTCTTGGGGTTTCTGCCTATGGGTTTTCGTAATTGGAAACCAGGTATTTCAAAATTTCGTCAACCGGCAAGAGGTTCCACCCTAAACCCTAAACCCTAAAGTCTTCGCTGAGGGCTCGACAACCGCCACGCGGAGCCCGAAGCGGCCAGAGCTTCGCGAGCGGCGAAAAAACGCGTACGCGGAGCCTAGGTAAAGCTAGGCGACTGGCACCATGCCGGCCCCTCGGGCACCTCCCACCATAGTGGTAT